ATATCTTTCACACGAAGAAAATTTTTTCCATCGGCCTCCTCTATATTTCCGCAAGATGTGTTATCCAGGTTGGTTTTGATGTTTTCTAAAAAAAACAATCGAAGATTAATGTGCTTGTTCATGATCGCAACTTTACCAACTTACCTTTAGACGCCATCAGATTTTCCTGAACATTTGTCACACAATTAATGTCTAACGAATTTAAGAGACTTTTCGCTAAATAGGTAAAGAGTTCTTGTTTATTAGAGGAGTCTTTTAGACATGTTTCCCAGTTGGTAGGAAGTTTATCTAAAAAGAACAAAAATATCCATCATATACTTTATTTTATTAATATACATAATAACTCCTGGTAGCCTAAACTGTCAATTTACTTACCCTTTTTTGGCAAAATATTCTATCTCAATCTAGTTCCTCTATTTTCTCTTGTAGCATTTTTGAGACTATTTTCAAAATATAAATCCCATGCCACGTCCATGCAATCTTGAAGCTTTTGTAGTGGCAGCAAATTTTTGGATATACGGTTTAAATTGTTGAAGGTAGTATTTAGAAAAGGATTTTAATTCTAAACGTGGTTTGAAAAATTAACTAAACCTGCTCCATCAAAAACGCATCACTCAAGAAGAGGTATAAGAAGACTCATCATTCAAGAAGAGGTATAAGAACTGATTTGCTTCCAGGTCTTAGAGACCCATTAACCGACAAAGATGGTGGTGATTTTTGATTTTCGTATTGAAAAAATTAATTTAAGTCTAATTCCCTCGCAGTACTTACTATAATAGCCTGGAAAATAATTCAGGAACGTCCGACCTGAAAGTATAGAAGTTTGTGTTTTAATATTTTTATTTATTTTGTCAAAAATATTTTTGACTCAACTCTCGGTATGGAACTGATTTGATCTTCATCTCCAATCTCTCGATAGTAAAAGTTTTATACAAATTAAGGCCATCTTCTTCCAATCTATAAAGAATATCAATTCCCTTTTTTTCTACAACTATACGAGTACTTAAGCACAATAATTCCCCACTAGACATCGTGAAAGGATTTTCACACTCATAAAAAGCATCCTTGAGAGCAACACAGTCTGAAAGAAATTTTCTTTGGTTTGCTGGAGTTGCTTCGTGGTGTAAGAGAGATGTGTTTGTTGAGGGTTGACCTGTCATGCCTCTATGCGAATTCCCCGAAAAATTAAAATGTTTTTATTTTATTTTATTTTTTTATTTATTTGCTATAAAATCATTTGAAAGACCATTTAGTTTCATTTAGTCAATTCCGGAAAGTTTTAACAAATATTTCAAAAAATTCATGCGCCGCCTATGATCGTCGTTGACAGCGATAATTTTGGAAAACACGTTTTTTTTTACTTTTTGAATGTAAATTACTTATTTTTGTTATAAATTCGTTCATGCTAGCCGTTTAAAATTTTGTTAACCAAATTCTGCAAAAATATAAATTTTTTTAATTACAAAGCAGTTTTCAAGGTCAGTAAAGGTCATATCGACCTGAAACAGTTTTTTTGGATTCTCCATCCTCGAATTATATAATATAGAGTATATTATCGCCCATATTAAAAAAGCCTAAGATGTAAGAAATTTTTGTCCGCCATTTTGAAAAAATAGCGGTATGGGTGTCCTACGGGTCCGGGAGGGTGGCTAATCGGGTCAAATCTCTTAAAATATCGTTTTTTATAACTATGCCAAATTTGATGCTTGTATCACAATTTGGCGTTTTTCGATAAAAATTTGCTCGAGGGAAATAGACTATAAGTAAAAATACCATACGATCAAGAATAAAACGGCGTCATAAACGGCTGAGGAATGACAATCGATAATAATTTTGGCGGGTCAAGCCCTAGACATCATTCAATTGGCCCATACTATTTTTTAATGACGTTTACTACCAGCTGGCATTAAGGAAGTTGTAATTTATTTTTATATTGAGTAAACATTATTTTTAAATGGTGTATACATTGAATGACATTAATCAAAAAACAGAATGCTCAGGAGTTATGGTTCTGACCGTAAAATGATATTTTAGAAAAATGTACACACGAGATTATTGCACAGGGTGTTTTAAAGTTAAGGTAAAAAACAACCCCGCGATTAACCCTGTATAATATGACAAATAATAAAGTTTTTAAATAACTGAGATTACTGGTTAAATCTGATATCCTCGTATGTATACAGTCTACATCTGAGTGTATAATAATAAATTATAATATTTTTATTTAAAAAAATGTTCATAGAAATTCCTTACGTAGATATTCCAGCAATTCATACTGTAAGCTTCTAGTTATACAAAAACATGAAACAGTATTTTAATTCAATGCTAGATCAAAATGAGCCACTTTATTATCTATTTGACAGTTTAATAGCTTTTTAATCGTATTTCCTTTAGTCAGCTAGTTAGAATAGTCGCATCTAGTAATGAATATTGTGCACCTTATTTTATGTCATCGGCAAATGTTTTAAAACCTACACAAACTAGCGTTTCGGTCTCCTGCCTTATTATGCTTCCAGAATCCAATCAAAACTTAAAACAAACAGAATTAAAACGTCCTCAAATTAAAATTGAGTTTGGGTTACTGGTATTACCGCAGCTTAAATCCCCCTCAGAGAACAGCGACCGGATTTCGGTCATCCTCGACATATTTTTGGGTCCGAGTTTTAATTATTTTCATAATTGGGTTGGTTTGTAGTAATCCTTGAAAAAATTGTATTTCGATAAACGTATATTTTTTTTAATTTTTATTTCAAATTTCTGCAATATTAATTTTTATAACTAAAAGAGACAGATAAAGAAGATATTTTTCTAATTCAATTTCATATAAATTCAATTATTGATTGAATTTATATTAAATTGAATGAAGTGTACTTTTACAGATTCCATCACTGAATCATCTGATCATTTATTTAACAGTTCTTTAAACTTATTTAAATATAACTCTTAGCCAAGATTTTTAAATAATAAGATAAGTGTTCCACATATACATATAAAATATAAACTAAAAATACTTGAAGTCTTCCTTCGATCAAATGTAAATTAATAATTTTCTCAAAATGTCAGAAAAATATTAATTTTGTGACGTGACTGACAGTATAAAAAAGTTTAACAGCTAGGTGAAAAAATAAAACCACTTTATTACCTAAGCACTAAGGCACAAAATTACATTATTAAACTGACGAATTCAACGAGTGTAACTGAAATTCAACGAGTGAAACCAAAACCATTGCTGCTCGATATACAAGGTGGGCCGAACTATATTCCGTAAAGTTGGGCAGCATATTCTGCAGATAGAAATAAGTAAAAATGTTCGTATAAATGTATGTCCCAAAATGCTTAGTTTTGGAGATCCAGGCTGTAGAAGTGTTCATTTTTATTCAGATTTTTTCGAAATAATTTCCGAAGTAACATTAGTACTTGGATGAAAATTGGTGTCTGGGAGTTTTTTAGATGAGAAATTTGATTTTGATGTGAATATGACTCCTATTTGTAAGGGACACAACTTACATATAAAAAAAAAGAAGAAGCGATAGCCTCTAAAAGAAAAATAAAAGAGGCTTTTTTTAATTCAATCTAATAAAAATAAATGTATTGCTCATGCATCTGTAGATGTTAGTAATGTATGGCAATCGCTTCTTTGATTTTAAAGAACATAACATAAATAAGCATAACATGCGTAAAATTTAAAAAAATCATACAGAAAGTTTTTTTGTTTTACCTTATTAAGTAATTGTTATCAGGTAGTAATTGTTAATTTTGAAGTTTAACGTGATATAATGTCATTTTAACAGAACGTCAACGGTTTCTTGTAGACGTATCTGTTTTAAAAAAGGAAAGTGTTCTCGAATAGTTCAATTTAAATATTTTAAATAGTTTTTTCTTTATTCTTTGTATTTTTTTGCTTCCGACGACGGAAAGAGATAACTTTCCGAAACGTTAAGCATTTTTTTTTGTTAGGCAAATTTGTATTACTGTAAACATAACTTCTGACAAGCCGCGTCCGTTTAGGTTTAACGCCAGAAATGTTTACAAAAAATAACTATTTTATTTTGTAGATTTTCTTGCAGTGCAGTAGCGAAATACCCATAAAGGTATAGACATTTTTTACGTATCACGTATCTGTAAACGCAAGTGAATTTCTCACTGCGCAAGCATATATGTCAAACGATACGTTTACGTCTACGTCTTTGGCCGTGCTTTAACTGCCTATAATACTCTTCTATTTACTTATTGGTTTTGCATTGTTACCTGTTCGGTTTTAATTTAAAAATAGATGCAGTTTTTTTTAAATTAGTCAAAGCGGGATTGTTCAAAATTTTTTAAAATTCCTTCTTTTTTGGTCGATGTGTTAACACTGGGCGTTGAACAAGCGGAGATCCGGGTAATTAGGGGGTAATTGCTTGGTACTTGCGGCTGATTGTCGATTGTTGCAGGCGGCTCTGAAAATGTTGCAATTTTATTATCTTTAAAGTTAAATAACTCGGTTGTTTTCAATTTATTTTAAAAAATGGTAAAGAGAAAATATATATACCATCCCTTATAAAACACTGGCACTTATTTCTGGGACCTCTGTATAGGGAATTCTATTTCAAATAAGCAAATCGGCAGCCACTTCCAGTTAAAACGGAACAACCAGAAAAAAAATATTCTAAAAGGAAAGAAGACGCAGAAATAACCTTTACATCAAACATTTAAAATTGTATCGTAGTTTTTCCTAAAAAGATTTTAATGAACCAGTTGCGGAAAAAATCCTGTGTAAGGAACACTGGGAGCATCATACCAGGTATTATATATGAAAAACTGACTGATATTTTTGTTCCCAACTCTTTGACAAACAAAACATAATGTTTGTATAAAGACAATTTAAAATTATTTTCTTTTATTTCTTAATTTTATGAAATGTTTGATACATATTTTTTATTGTAAATATGAAATTGAAAAAGAAAATAAATAAACATCGCTTTTAATGTTCACTAAAACATATTTTTTTTTATTTTCAGATAGACAATTCCAACGTGTTCTACTCAGGTAAGGCATTAGCTTTGTTCGAAAATTCGTTTACAAACTGATTTTGAACTATACTTGAAACAATACAAAATTGTCGAAAGCAGAACATACCTAGTTGTTCCTCAGTTTGGAATTTGCATTTACTACCAATGATTCCACAATCTCTTTACTATTAAAAAATTAGATATTACACTATTATGTTGAAATATTTTTGATAATCCTTTTCTGGTTACATTTTTCAAAATACACTACTCAAAACAATTAACGCATATTTTCTAAAAAAATATTAATTTGAAAAAGAACTTTGAATTCCCTGACTTACGATTTTAAATAGTATGGATACTGTGAAGAGAAATTCGATGCAATAAGCCTACGCTAACCTGTAATTTTTTGTCGGCCGACTGTTTAGTTGCAAAAGTGGAAACAATACATACTTTATGAAGTCGATCGGCCGACTATGTTGTTACAAATATGCAACTAAATAGGCGGCCGATTAAAAATTGCTTTTCGGCGCACAGCCTAAGGCTACGTAATCAATGTAATCAAATATTGGACCGATTGGTTCCATAAGACAACTAAATAGTCGGACCGATTGGTTCCACTTTTGCAACTAAATAGTCGGCCGACTAAAAATTACATATCTGTGCGTGCCTTAATTATCCTAAAAAAACTCACAAGAGAAAGGCAGAAAAATGCATGCTTCATTTAAAAATATGAAATAATTATTTTTATTCAAATATGCGATAATTCTTTTGAGCAGTGTATCAGCAAAAATCTTTATTTTCAAGAGAGTGCTACAAAGAATTTTTTACTGTAATTTGCTTATTAATTCAATCATAACATCTTTAATGTGCAGTATACGTAGGTAGATATAATAATTTTAAAGTATATTAAAGTTTATAAAAAAAATATAATATATATAATACTGTTATTAAAAGCTCAGAATTTACAAACTGACATGTTTTAAAATTGAGACAAATTATGGCTGGTTAGTTGTGAAAAATAGAATAAAAATAAAGAGATCAAAAATATTTTTTATAAAACTGGTTATTTATAATAATAATTGTAATTAAAAAAACATCCCTTTTTGCTGACGGCGTTAATTTGTATTCTACCTACTTTGTTTACGCAGTATCCAAAACGTGGTCTTCGTCATTAGAGCGTAACTAAATAATGGCCTTAACGAGTGTTTAAATTCATCCTTACTGACGAGATGTCCGATCTCATCCGGCATTTAACCAGCGTAAATGAGAACTATGTCTCGATAGATTTTACACTCCTGAAGTTCCACCCGTCCAGATATCAACATCGTTCAATGTCGCTTAACTATGGTGATCCATTAAGAAATAGTGTTTCGACGGAACTGGGCCTTTGCTCTATGATTTAAAAATAGACAGAGATAATTAAGTTTTAAATCTAATAAAACAAATAAAGCAAGAAACAAAACGTATATCATAGTCAATAAAATTATGATCATTGATCAATATAATCAATTAATTTTTGCTTATAAAAAATGAATTCATCTCCAGTTTATAAAAAATTTTATTTGTTTTATAATTATAAATACGCTTCAATTTAATTTATAATTTTCAATAAAGTGAAACTACATTGTTTGGTTTTCCACTATTATTATTTAATGATGTATATACAGAATTGAAAAATTAAAAATAATTTCATTATTTTTAGTAAAATTGTTTTTAATAATAATGCGTTGATTATTGTTCCTTTCTCGTGCATTATTTACTGAAAGTATACATATGTTAATGATATAAACTAAATAATTTTCAATATTTTACGGCATAAATGGCTTAATTAATATTTACTGGTACAACAAAAAAATGTTATGATATTAAAATAATTCAAATAATATCAAAAGCAAAACAAAATATATGTTTTTTGTGATGTGTTTCATTAAAACCCTGAAAATCAAATCTGAAAATACTAAGTGTAATTTTATTTAAAATGGCTTAAATTATTAAATAGTTTTTTACTTCAAAGTAAAAATAAATTAATTTTTTCTAACGGTCAAATATTGTTTTAATATATATTAAATTCCATACCCTACCATGACTAGATATGTTGACAAGACCTAGAGATAATATAAATATTCTATGATAGAGCTAAGCTCAGTTGAACTCGGGGGCTACCAAAAATGATTAAAACTTCAAGCTTCAGTGATTAATTAGGAACACAAGGTGCGTTTTAGGATTAAAGAAAATAATTGTGTAATTTAAATTTATGAAGCTTTATTTTCTTAAAAAATATACTTATTTCATGTTTGAATAATTTAATATTTTTAAATATTAGAGAAAAATGACCTTTTTAATATTAAAAGGTAAATAATTAACGATAACAATAGTTAGAAATCAAAATATTGCTACTTAATATTTAAAAAACATAGTGATTTTTTTTATATTTCCAAATGTTGGAGGTTAAAAATGTTTGAAATAACTAACTAAACCACCGAGACAAAAAATTGTTACGTAATAATTCACTAAGCTTCAAATCCACGGAGACTAATAAACCACTTGATGTTTCCAGATATATTCCAAGACGTCAAATCGATCGTCAAAATCAAAAAGATTATGTTTAAGTAAGTTAAATCTAGTAATTATATTATAATTCCGCATTATAATTCTAGAGAAAAGCTATAAAGTTCTGAGGAAAAAGAATTAATAATTTAGTTTTTAAGCCGCAACAACATCAACGGCTAGCAGCAACAGCATAGCGGCGTATCGCCTGCCATTTTAGTACAGTAATTGATACTAATATTTGACATTTTATTAAATAATATATTTTTTTGTGGGGAAAAAATCTGCAAACCAGAGACCGTATGCGGTACTGTCGGGGTAGCTGAAGTACCTTACCGACTAAAAAAACCTCCACAAGCCGCTTTGAATATCTCCCAAAGAACTACCTTTCGGCATTACTTTTCGAGAAGGCGGTTTTACTGCTATGTCTTAGTAATATACAATATGTATAAACAAATTATTTAAAAACAGATGTTAACTTCGTTAACAGTACAGACATTGATTATGTACAAATAAAATGTAAATGCTATGAACAGCATAATATAAATTCATAAATAAAATATAAAGATTATAAATAAATAAAAGAAAATAAAGATTTAAATAAATATAAAAAAAAATATATAAAGTTATGATATATTATAAAAATAAACATCAAGATATTTTCAAAAATAATTATTAATATCCCTTACACCGTGTGGTGCATCAGAACGCGGGACATAGGAAATCCCAGGTAAATTTGGAAAAGGTCAAATATTATCTCCCCAGATGATTTCATGCAAAAATTGTATTATATTTTTTTGAAGAGATGATGATCACTCCCAGGCGTCGCTCTTATACTACATACATCCACAATAATTCAAGGGATAATCGAAATATTTGTAAGACAAGGAACTTTATTAAACTATACTAATTAATAAAATGTTTACATAATTCCCCATTCCCAGTGAAATTCACGCCGAAAACGGTTAAGGGGAGAATCTTTAGCATTCCACAGAGGTGTCATTATCAGTCCATCTACATGTATTTAATATGCTCATAAAAACGGTTTTTGCTCCACAGAAAGAAGTCTTTCGGGGAAAGATCCTGTGGTCTTTTCCTACTGTATCCGCAATAAAGGGGAATCAATGTTTTTCTTTTCTTCAACATGAAGAATATTCAAGTCATTATTATTTTCTTCCTGTTCAATTATTTTTGTCTTCACTCTTCCATGTGCTTAATACCGTGCCTTTAGTTTCAAACCTCAGGTTTATTCTTTACACTGTTGACTTGTTCGGTATAGGCTATCCGGAGACTGAGCTTCGAACATATCTAACACAGTGGGAATACTATTTCCAGCAAAATGCCGTTTAACCATCGTAACTTGTACAGAACTTGCGAAATGTATAATTATTTTATACAAATTACCCTGTTTCGTAATTTTTGTAAACAAAATGAGTATTTTAATTATAGCTTTCTTTGGGCCGTATTATAAATTTTACTAATGTGGAGGTAGATTTTTGCAAATAACTTTTAGATAACAATTCCAAATGTAACGAAATTTTACACAAAAGTACAACTTTAACGCCTCTTCAAAAAAGTCTAATACAACTTTTAAATTAAATTATCGGGGAAGATAATATTTGACTTTTTTAAAATTTACATGGGATTTCCCGCGTTCCGATGCACCACACGATATAATTTCAATGTGAGTAAATCTAATTTTAAAAGCAAATTATATACTGTATATTCAGAACTTTAATAAAAATACTGTATAATTGAAAAATGAAACGGCATCAGTTAATTTTAAAAATACCCATCGATAAAATATTATGCTTATATTATTAGGTGTATCCTGTCGACTCACAACTAAACCAATAATGTTTTATAATACATTTATAAATTTGTTATATATAGTTAAACCTACTTCATAGTAGATTACAGGCATGACTCTGACTGGTATGTATGTTTACGATGCCTATACGTTTGTGATCAGTAATAGAGATCTCTTTGCAGCCTTTGTTAGTGATCATGGGTATGATACCAGAAATAAATATAATCTTCTACCTAGGAAATGCAATTTTACTTCTATACAAAAGAATGCTGAGTATTCGATTATAAAAATATTTAATAGTTTCCTCGAAGAGTTGTAGGTCATGTCTAATGGAAAGATAATAACTATACTAAAGGATTATTTAACCAAAAAGGCATACCATAGTTTGACGGATTTTTTTCCGATTCCCATATCTCACTTTTTAGGGAGCATATTTTTGTTTGTACTAATTGTAATAAATGTAGTGTGGACTTTTGAGTTAGTTACTGGTACTCATATACAGGGTGATTCCTGTAAGTCGGTCATGCTTTCAGGGAATGATAGATGACTTCGAAATATTAATTTTGATATGCACACTATGGGTTGGAAATGCCTCTTACGCAAGATACAGGGTGTTAAAGCTTTTGAAAAATTAAAGATATTCTTTAATAGTTTTTTAACAGTTGAAGGTTTCGTTATAAAATTTTATTATAGAAGTCTACCTAACAGAAAAACTTTAAATGTATAAAGAAGATGTTTTAGTTTCAATCAGTGGCGTAGATGTGACGCGTATCACATATATATATTTTTTTCAAAAAAAAATAGTACGCCACTGGTAAAAAATAACATTTTTATAGTTTTTTTTATTTACTCGGTTTATTTCCAAGAAAAAATGTCTCTTGCAACTTTCTCCTATCTAACACCATTTTGCCACAATTAAAAAATATTTTTTTTTGATGAGAATCTTAAATACAGCGAATTATTATAACAGAAATACATGTGCATACAGAGTTACACAGCTTGGGTAGCTTTAGTACTTTTTACTATTAGCTCCTTAAATAAATTTTTAAAAAATTATAAATTTAAACTCGATTTTTTTTATTGTTAATAATAAAATTCTTAGTTTTAAGGTAGTTTTAATAATTCGCATATTTAAGGTTCTCATTAAAAAAAATATTTATTTTTAAATTATGACAAAATGGTGTAAGATAGGAGAAAGTTGCAAGAGACATTTCTTTTTGAGAATAAACCAAGTAAATAAAAAAACGCCCAAATTTTTATTTTTATCAGTGGCGTACTATTCTTTTTTTGGAAAAATACCCGATGCGTATCACATCTAGGCCACTGGTTAAAACTAAAACCTTTTGTTTTTACATTTAAAGTGTCTCTGTTAGGTGGACTCCTATAATAAAATTTTATAACGATACTTTCAAATGTTAAAAAACTATTAAAGAAAATCTTTAATTTTTCAAAAACTTAACACCCTGTATCTAGCGTAAGAGGCATTTTCGACCCATAGTGTGCTAGATCAAAATTAATATTTCGACGTCCTCCATCATTCCCCGAAAGCATGACCTACTTACAGGAATCACCCTGTATTGCGGTTAGAAGGACTATTTATTTTGAACTGTGCAATAATTTTCGAATTATATATTTTATATTTTTTGTTGTCAAATATTTATTCTTGTTTGTCTTGTTGAACTTGTTCTGCGGGCTCTTGTAACTTTTGTTAAATAGGAACAAATAAATTAATATCTATTTATCTACCTACAAAATTGTATGCGCAATTAAATTAGCACATACCAAGTAACAGAGTCTTATAATAAAAGTTAAAGTCATGCTACGGTGTTCCAGCTAACTTTACTTATTCATTTAACTTCAAGTGACTGGAAACGTAAGTTACACCTAAGACAGATGCAATCTAAAGAGCTTACATACATACGATATGCATCTGGCCAACTTCACAGGTTGTAAAACAAACCCATCTTGTCTTATAGTTTGACAGTTATTGTCTCAGATTCCGACTGTTATTTATATGGAAAATTTAACAAGGGAGCTAGTTGCAGTTGATTTATAATCGCTTCGAAAGTTTACACACTGACTTAGAATTATTACATATATCATTTCTCAGAAGTGTATCAATAATGTTCACATAAGTGTGTATACAGGGTTATTCACTTCATTCGAAACGGAGTACTGTAGCCAAATGATTAGATTTCTAAAAAGTGTGGGATGGGATCATTGGGGGACTACTAAAGCTACAATTTAAAATTATTTTCAAAAGGTACAGTATTCCAGACAATATCAGTACAGTATAGTATCACTACACTATAGTACAGTAAATAAAAAATATCAAAATTGTATTTTTTTAAATAGAATATCCTGTATATTACAGTTGGGGGTTGGAACCTTTGGTGTTACACAGCAAAATAAAACACTAAATCACCACGATACACCAAAACACTTTTACTTTTACACTGGACGCACGTTTCACTAACCATGTTAGCATCATCAGCAGATGATTAAAACCGAGGTTAAAACTCAAAAGTAGTATTAATCATCTGCTGATGATGCTAACATGGTTAACGAAACGCGCGTCCAGTGTAAAAGTAAAAGTATTTTGGTGTATTGTGGTGATTTAGTGTTTTATTTTACCCTGTATATTATTACATTTTTAGTTTCTACGATTAAAATGAAGGTAAATTTGATTATGGCTTACCGCACTTTAATATTGCCGTTTTTTAAATACATTTACTTACATACATACATACAGCCGCTACTCGCTGACGAGTATTCGATACACATGAAGAAGATGGTCACGCAAGGCGTTTTCTTTCATGAGCTTTTCTGTGACTGAAAAGCCCGATACGTGATGTTATTTGCCTACCGCACTCCGGACATTCAAAAATCTCATTGCTTTGTTGCCTCTTTACTTTTTGGTTGTCGCTGTTAACAGAGTTTGCAACATTGAGTTCTATTGTGAGCTGCTTTTTCCCACTCATTCTGCATGTTAAGCCCCTTTAAATTTTCGTGGAAAATGTCCTTGTACCTTTTCAGTTTTCCACCTGGCCCCCTCTTACCGTCTACAAGCTCACCGTAAAGCAGAGATTTTGGTATGCGGTTTTCTTGCATTCTGTATACGTGACCAGCCCATCTTAAGCGGGATTTTGTAACCATGACTTCAATACTCTCGCAATTAGCTTTTTCAAGGACCGATACGTTTGAGACATGGTGGAACCACCGGATTCTTAAGAGTTGTCTAAGGTGTCTCTGTTGCAACTTGTTTAACCTTTCCGGGACCGTGCTACAAAAAGTTACGTTTCAGGCCGTGTGGGGTAACTACGATACCCCACTGAAATATTTCAAAAACTATTAATATTTTGTCACTCAGATAAATTATTAGTAATTATTTGTAAAGTTTAATACTAAAACGTCAATAATTTAAATATTTTGTATTTGTTTAATATAAAAAACATTTAATTTTAAAACTAAACTCTTATTAGTTTTCTACACATTATTTTGGCAGTCAGAGAATAAAAACGTTTTACATTCTTTGCCGAGAATATTAAAAATGGGGTTTTTGCATGTATTACATAATATTTTTGTTTTTCTCTAACGTGATCTGGCGGAAAAGCCGCATGTTCGGTTTGAATTAGGTTGAATCTCTTTAGCAGGATTTATAAGAACAGTGCTTTTGGCAAGAAATAATTGTATTGCTGTTTTTACAGTTTTGTGAAACTTGTTACTATTTTATTTACTTCTTAGAACGTTTAGAAGTACAAGTCCTTGTACTGAAGGATTACTCTTCGTAGCTCTCGAAGCGAATTCGGCAGGAATTCCTTTTTTGTTAGGCGCTACTAATCCTGTGCTGAATTTCACAGTCAATATTGGCCTTTTCCGAAATCAAACTGCCAAGGTAATTGAATTCCGCCACATATTCCAATAGTTCTTCTCCGATTTTTATAGCATTCTTATGATTTTCCGGGGGAGTGCACATGATTTTAGTTTTGTCAATGTTTAGCTTAAGGCCTAAAGCCCAGGTATATGTGTTCAACATTTCTTGTAATTGTTGTACCGTGTTTGCAACTAGAGCGCAGTCGTCAGCGTATTGAAGTTCTGTGATGAATTTTGTACGTGTTTTTGCCCTGAGTCTTTTTATGTTGAACAGACCGCCGTCGTATCTGTATCTAATGCCCAAACCTCTCTCCTGCAGTTTGCTATCCACTATAATAGAGAGTGCTGCCATGAATATGTTGAATAGGAGAGGCGCTAAGACACATCCCGGCCTAACTCCTGTATTTGTCAGGAATGGGTCTCTCAGTGATCCATGATGTGACACTCTTAAATACATTTACGATTTTGTGAAAATGCAGTTTTAATGCTTCATTACTCTAGGCATGTTTAAGTTTTTAAAACTAAATATTGCCTATATATAATAAATATTATTACTACAAAATTCTATAATTCCAGAGTGTCTCAAAATTGATATTAAATAATTATTAGCTTTAAACGGCAATAACTTGTTTAATTTAAATGCATTATTATTAAAAAAATACCCAATTTAATTATCTATCAAATTATATTATACCGTTTTCTACCTATCAATTCAAGTTTTCGTAGAAAATGCATTAATTTATAATTTAGACCTAATTTATCAAAATACCAATGGAATATTGTCATTTTAGATAATTTTTTAAAGCCAAACCAAAATAAATGTACAGCCTCTTTGTTTACAAAAATAAAACTATTTAAATCTTTGTAAAAGAGAATACCAATTACCACTATTATTTCCGCCCAAATATTCATTAATTACATACTTAATTGGGTTCGTTAATTAATTATTCTCAATAAATATGTAGAGTTGAATCAGAAATCAATATAATAATAAGTTATGAATAGCAACGTCTCTGTTTTTATAAATAAGTATTCCTATTTTATATCACTTTAGAAAGATTTCCACTGAAACCAATATGCACGTCCCTGGTGAATATGATGACACTGTTTTAGTATTAAAATATATCGGAATTATAGTAACTTTCAACATCAAAATTTCGTTCGAATCTCTAAAAGTACTTCGAAGAAAATTATAAAATATCGAAAATAAACGAAGATTTCAACCCCTGTAAAGGCCTGGTTTTTCTGACCAGATCGGCCCGAAATATTTCGGTGAATATTTCCGTACAGAACGCTCTAATTTACCGAACTCAGTTCGTTCCGAAGTTTCGTCTGCGTGTGGTTTGTCGGAGATTATATTCGTTATGATTAGGTATTTCAGTTCGGTCTATTCAATCATTAAAATTTTGCGTTGTACGTACCTAGGTTCTTTTACGCTTCTAAATGGATTTTTTTTATCGCTATGATTTTAGAAGAAGAACAGGATGATGATGATGAGTACTATGCGTTATTAGAAGTATGTTCTGAACATAATAGAGTTCTGAAAATGTTTGAGAATAGGGACAAAGAAGGTGCTTACAAACTGTTAGTGTTAAAGCATCTTTCGGATAATGATACAAAGTTCAAAGAATTTTTCCGTTTAACTCCACAACTATTCCATACTGTACTAGATTACATAAAGAATGAAATCAGTTCACAACCTACAAATAAACATCCGACTCCTATCTCTCCCGAGGAAAAGTTATGTCTCACATTAAGGTATGTAAGTTTTTATTGAAAAACGATTATATGAAAGTGCCGGATAAAACGTGAATGAGCATGATTCATGACGGGTCAGTTTAATTCGCTGCTTAGTAAAAAAAGAGGTGAACGCGTTAAAAGAAGTTTTTAATTCAAAAATACGTACCTACATAGATCTATAGTTAATATGTCAAAAATAAATAAAAAAACTAATAAAAATAAATATTTTATTCTTTTTCATAAGAAAAAATAGTAAAAATAGTAGATAAACGTACTTATCTTATTAAACAACATATTTATAATGGCGTAAAATCAGTTAAGTAGCTCTGTACTGTACCATCTGGTGACATCATTTGTTCCTGATTATTAGAATCGGTGTTGTAAGTAGAGCTGGGACCGCCGGGATGTCCATAAACTATATTATATTCTCTTTGTCTTATGAGATGACAAGCCGAGGAAGAATCGTCAGAGTGTGATGGTAGGGAAGGGGATGGGCTTGGCGTTGATACGTACACTGTCTGCAAAGGGGAAAGGTTTGATGGTGGATATTTTTCTTCGATATTTTTCTCCTCAATTTCGGCCATATCAAGGAAGATCTTTCGTTTGGCTTCTGCCAAATACCTCGGCGATAGTGTTTTAGCTGTTGCTGCCAATGATTTGAAAAACAGATCAATCGGATCTTCAGTTGATTGAGGCCCTGAGGTAGTGGCTCGCTGGGCTATATCGCGAAGTAATGTCATTCGTTCGGATCTTCCTTTGTGAATATCTTGGAATAATTGTGTTCTGGCCTTCTTTGCATCTATTCTCCCACGTGTTTCGGTTTGTGTTACTCTTTTTGTGCCGGCTATTTTTTCGATTTGGACCAGATCAGCTTTGCCCACTTTATTGACTTGAGTTGGTGTTGCTGTAATTTCTTGTGTCTCGTTTATTTCTTTGTTTTCCTCCATGGGTGTTACTTCTATGAGTAATTCCTCTATTATACTTTGATTTTCCGTTTCTTCATTTTGACTTTCTATATCAGAACCATTTCCTTCATGCTCATTGTCATCACTTACTTCTCCATCAGCGACGGCAGCAGCAGATACACTGGATTTTGTGCTAAAATAGAATATTTCAAAAATACCGTTAATGACAACAGAAAATTAAATTCTGTACCTACTTACATTCGATGTACGAACGCTGTGCTATCCAAAAATTTCATATGATGAAACTTTTCATTTCCCTGACTGGCTGAACTTCCGGTAGAACTCACTTTTTTCTTTCTAACATAGTAGTCTCGTAGGTTAGACCATCTCTTTTTGCACTCTTCACCTAAAAATAATGGCAATATTTTTCAATATTCTACTTTGTTATAGGTATTTTAATATTATTTCTAATTTCTTATAGGTATTTATTATCCCTGATTATAATTTTTTGTTGCAGGTATTTAGCCACGGGCGAGTCATATCGATCATTAGCATTTTCATTCAGAATTTGTCATAGTTGGATCAGTATTATTGTCCGACAAGTATTGTCTGCTATTCGTAACAAGATGACTGATATAGTTATGCCAGCTCCTACCGAAAATCAACACAAAAGAAATGCCCTAGAATTTTACAAACGCTGGAATTTTCCAAACTGTTGCATGGCGATTGACGGAAAACATGTTCGAGTAGTCTGTCCCCCAAACACAGGATCGCTACATTTTAATTACAAAGAATATTATTCTGTAGTTTTGTTAGCCCTTGTCGATGCTGACTGTAAGTTTGTAGCCATTGATGTAGGAGCTTATGGAGGTGAAGGAGATGCTGGGGTGTACAGTAAATCTAATTTTGGTAAAAAAATTGCTGCAGGTAGCTTCAATCTTCCACCACCGGCAGTTCTTCCAAACACAACTACTTTACAGCCCCATGTTATCCTTGGAGACAGTGCATTTACACTTACAGAAAATATGATGAAGCCCTATCCACAAACTTTATCTGCATCTGACACCACAATTGCAGCATATAATTACCGCCACTGTCGAGCAAGAAGAACTACGGAAAATGCATTCGGAATATTAAGCCAATATTTTAGAATTTATTTTACGCCCATTGGCGTAAAAAACGCCGACACTATTGATGATATTATTTTTGCCACCTGCCTTTTACATAATATGCTAAGGGACTCTAAAATACCATATCCAGAAGAAAATACCCATTCAAATCCGCCAATTCCTGCTGAAACCTTTTCACCTTTAGCGCCTTCTCAGAACAGACGGCCCTCTTTTGCAGCTAGACATGTTCGTGAAGTTTTTAAAGATTATTTTAACAAAGATGCTGGCAGGGTTGGGTGGCAAAATAATATTATAAATCGCACACGATATCATGACGATGAGCTCTCTTCAAACTAACGTTTTACATACATTCAGCAAACATTTATTTTAAATAATGTGTTAAATATTATGTATAGATACATTCTGCTGCACGATTTAGGGATACGGCCTAAAATGATTTTATTATTGTGCATTTTTTATGTATTTAAATATCTGAAAATTACTAATATCCCTAATTCCCGTGAAGCAGTTTAGTTTAACTACCTATGAAAAAATGAAATGTTGTTCTATTTTATTAAATAAAAAAGTTGTTCTATTTTAGCTTGTACTTACCTGTTCTATTATACCCGGATTTTACCATTTCCTTTGCAATTTTTGCCCAAATATTATCTTTTATTTTCATGTCCTTGTAACTTTTTAATTTTTTCGCATATAATGGAGGATTCTCTTTAACTTTGTCAATTAATAGTTCATCTTCCAGTGCAGAAAAATCTAATTTGTTGTACTTCTTACCGACGGACATCTTTTGAATAAATTAGGGAAGTTCTTGTTTCCATCTTGTTGCCTATCGGTGGACCATCAGAATTTTTTCATCATCTATTTTTTACTTCTGATGGTCCATCGATGGGCAACAAGATGGAAACAAGAACTTCCCTATTCATAAATTCAGGTATTTGGTGATTTTTTCTTGAAAACATGTTTTGATCCGTCGTTTTTATTTTTTTGTCGCGCATTTTTCAGGAAAAAAATAAACAGCCCAACTTTTTTAGAAACACCGTGAATAATTTTATTATTCAAATGCGTGACAAGAAAAGAAAATCGACGGGTCTAAATATGTTTTCGAGAAATAAACACTCGAATTTTAATTAATTTATTGATTCACTTTACACACATACTGTAAATAGTAATTTTATAAAAATAAATCCGCCGAAATTGACAATTATTTTTCACAACCTTAACCTAACCTAACAAGTTCGGCGAACTACGCCGATTTGAGATCGTTCAAATCAAAACTAGTTTGATACAGACGAACTGCTGTCCGCATACGTTCCCGAAATTTCGGAACGAAATTTCGTTCCGATCTAGACAAACCACTACTGCGTCCTACACATATACTGGGTTTGGCCGGAAACGCTAACGAACTTTTCGTGCTATATCACCGAAATATTTCGGGCCGATCTGGTCAGAAAAACCAGGCCTTAACGTTACAAAACAAAATTGTTATTTTTACGTGAGCCCCACGAAAGATGGTACATATTTTTTGAAACAACCTGTATACACTTTTCAATCACATTATACTTTTACACGATTTTTTTACAGCTTTACAACTTACGACTTTTACACTTTTTTGGACTTATATGTATATAACCAGAATGTCAAATATATTTATCTGTAAGAAACAGCTAAAACAGTCCTGGTTATTATATATATATTATATTATGATAGAGTTAAATATTTTATATATCAGCTGCTTATATACTGACTAATAGTACATATATATTTAGTTATTATTATTTCTGGTATATAAGTATACTTATTACATTTATTGTTTGTACTGTATATCAATTTTATCATAAACAAGCATTCAAATAAAAGCACAAACTTTAAGCAAGATCTAAGCAGATTATCCAAACAAACAATTGTTTCGTGTGTTAGTAGCAAAGCAATTGTAGGTATTATTGTATTCCAGTCTATGCGGCTTAGAAAGGTATCGGACAATTGATTGATCGCCTCTTTGTTGACCACTATGTGAAGCCAAGTCTATTTAACAATTTAATGAGATAATGGCCTTTAAACCCTAAATTAGAACTGGAGTCAGTAATAATAAATTAATCAAAAATTATCTTAGTTTTCTATTGAAAAATACTTAATTCTTTAGTATATTTGTAGAATGTAGAATAATAGTTAGAATAAAGTAGTGTAATAAGTAGAATAATTTAATAATATATTTAATATATTATTAAGCCATATTTTACATTTCTGTATGTATTTTTTGTTAATTTTAATAATTTAAAAATATCAGAGTTATTTTTCATTCAGATAATTTTTATTGCTTATTGCAGTTGCAACAGCAAAATAAAACACTAATTCACCACAATACACTAAAACACTTTACTCTTGCACTAGACGCGCATTTCGCTAACCATATTAGCATCACCACAACTATAGCATGGTTAGCAAAATATGCGTCTAGTGCAAAAGTAAAGTGTTTTGGTGTATTGTGGTGAGTTAAGCCAGATACACATTGTTCTGACGTGATGTGTTGTGTCGTGTTGTGTTGCATTATAATGAGATGTATCGTGAACACATTATTCTGATGCGATAAATTGTTTAAACCAAACTTGTAGTGATGACCTCATGTCGCCATAACGTCTAGTTTAGACGAATTTGAAGAATATGCTGCGGCTGTTTGTTCTACGTTAATAGAGAAGTAATGAAAATTGTGGAATTGTTGGAATTTGAAGGATTGCTGAGTTTTTTTGAAAAAAAAATGGATTCAATTTTATTTTTTCCTGTCGTTACTTTTTGGAAAATCAAAAAACTAATTGCACATTCTCATAGCCACTTTAATAGGGCTATTAGATAGTATCTTTAGCTTTTCAAATTAGCTGATAATTTGTGAGATACAGAGGCTAACCTAATTTTTTAAATACGTACCCGCATTTTTTATTTCCGGTTTTGAAAGAACTCGGTCTCCTGAGTACAATGTTATGCCACACTTAATATTTTTTTTCGGACATTTAAACCCAATTTTTAAACTAATTTCAAGTCTTTCGAGTTCTTTCAAAACCTGAAATCTGTGCTGAAATGAAAAATGGAGATCCGTATTTAAAAAAATTCTGGCTTCAGCAAAACAAATTATCAGCTGATTTAAAAATCTAAAATACTATCAGACAGCCCTAATGAAGTAGCTATGAGAACGTGCAATTAGTTTTTTGATTTCCTAAAAAGTAACGACAGGGAAAAATAAAGTTGATTTTCAAAAAAATTCGTTTTTTCCAAAAAACTCAGCCATCCTCGAAATTATTAAAAAAAAATCATGGCATCTTGGTGAACATACCAAAGTGCAACTTTGCCTCTTAACCATGTTCGTATCTATTACGATTATTCAGATACCAATGCTCGTACCCCGAACTTGTAGGACCCTGTATACGAAGCTTTAAAATTTTAATTCAAAAATTAAAATATAGTTCATAAATTTTTGACAGAAAAACAGATTTTTTAAAAAATTAAAAAGTAAGTAAATTGTTCTTATCTAAAATATTTTAAAACAATTTTTTGATTTTAATTTATACGTCAGAATAAATATTTTTTTATGGTTTAAATAGAATGTACAAAAAATACTACCTATAAAAATGTATAGCCTAATTTTAAAATAATAAATGTACTCTCCTTTCCATAATTGAATAAGTGAATATTTTGCTTTATGAATTAAACATATTGGTTCAATAACGTTATCACGCAACAAATACATTTTTAATAAAGAGCGCTTAGGAAAAAATACCTTTTTCTTTATTAGGTATAACCAATAATGGAGAAAGGGAAAATAATATAGAATAATCTTTCGTCACCCTAGTGACTTCGAGTTGACTTAAAAATAAATGAGTAGTTCTTAGGTGGGATACTTTCCCGATTCCCTGGGGTGTAATTACGACATAAATCGATTCCAACTTCCATCGACTTTAAGCATATCCTCGAAACACCATTAAACTTTTATACCACAAAATATTACTTTGTGATTGTAAAAATATAAGAGACTTTCCATCGAACAAAAGAGTGAATTTTTAGATTACTTTTTTGGATGAATACGTATCGGATTGACATGATGAAATTAGGTTTTCTGAGAAGTAATACTGATGGTCAAGATGGTTGTAGAAAAACATTTTCTGACTTTTTACTACAAATTTATTATGGTACTCGAAACAATGTTAAAAATAATTTAAATATAACTGAAATTTGCCGATAGAATAGTCGTCGTATGACACATGTAGTAAATTGGGATTTTCAGTCACAGAAAAGCTCATAAAAGAAAACGCCTTGCGTAACCATTTTCTGATGCGTGTCAAATACTCGTCAGCGAGTAATAAGTTATATATGTAGTTTTTTATACATGCTATTGGATAAATGAAATTCCAGACATAGTTTGACTTTTTGTAATTGGTTTCGGAGATATAGCATAAATTGGATCTTTTTTAACAGATTTAAATTTTTATTAAAAAACTATTTTAGACTCGTGTTACTAAAAATATTTTTATACAAACTATTGTAAAGTAAAAGTGTGGTAACTAAATAGTATAAATTAGTTTCATCCATTGTTACCAATTCCATTACTGGTAACTATTTTTTCCGATAATTCGAAAATCTGGAAACATCAGATGCTGCGCCGCCTAGTATATTCCTGTCTGCATATTTTATGAGAGATGTACGTTTGCACATCGTTTAGGGTAGTTAGTATCTTTTTATACCCATATGCGGAGTGTCAGTCCGCGAGCGACCGTTGGTGATACTATTTTTACATCAATAATTTTATAATGTGGAACAAGGTAAGTTATTTTACTGATCCGTTTTACTTGAAAATGAGCAAATTGCGATAAAAAAATTGAATAATCGACTTTTTATTGGGTGACTTTCCTACGATGTTCTCTATGGGTATCTCGGAAACTACTGGAGATAGAGAGTCGGTTAAATGGGGAAAGAATTGCAGTTTTGTGGCGTCATAAATATTCGCCTTTCAGATTTTTGAAAAAGTTCATGGCTAACTAGATATTTCGAAAAAAACAAATTTCGGCTATTTTAAAAATTGTCTCTATTTCCATTATAAGCTATTTTAGACAAAAAGTTTTCAGATAAAAGTTGTAGATAATCACATCCTTAATGAGACCGTGTCCTCCGTTTTTTTCTAAAGCCTGTCATTTTTGATATATGACACAAACATATGTTTTTTTAAATTGAAACCATAGTTGGCCATGACTTCATAAAAAGCGCAATTTTTTAAGCTTTTTAGTGATATAAGCTATATCTTTTCATCGAAAAATTACTGAGTTATAGCCAATTCTTATCATTTTTAAACAATTTCACTTAGTTAGCCATGGAAACAAGTTCATCGCCGTTGTTCTCAGAAATGTTAAGCTGTAACATCCAAACTTTGTAAATTATAATATTAAATTATAATCAAAAATTGTAAATATGAATTTTTTTATTTCACATGAAGAAAAGCGTGTAGATACTCGCGCATCAATAGAGTGGTTCCAACATGACTTTCAGTATGACACACCACCCCCCACCCTTCATAATGAAAGAAATTTTAAAAATTATTTATATCATAACTATACAAACGCAGGGATAGGAAGATGTGGACTAATTGCATGGGGCTCCTCGATCACCTGACCTATCCATTTTAGAATTTTTTATGCGGTATAGTTAACAATAAGGGTTTACAAAAGAACTTATGAATTAACAGAGGCCCTCGAAGTGGCGGCACGAGAAAAGTTTAATTAAGTCGACAGATCCTTCTGTGAGAATAAGTGGTAATTCAGTTTTAAAAAGATGCAACTCAAAACAATGGCGGATTTTTTGAACATTTTCTAAAATAATTTAAAGTGTATGTAGTGATATTATTTTTTTAAGTTTTAGTTTTTGTAATGTAAATTATAAAGAACCGTTTAGTAATATATTCTGACTTTTTATAAGTTATAAATCATAATAGAATAAGAATACCATACAATCTAAGTGAAATTGGTCAAGAAAGATAAGAATTGGCTATAACTAAATTTAACTTTTCTAACATGTCTTGAAAACCGTTCTCTAAAAAAACGTAACATTCACCGGTCAACGTATCCTCGAAAATGTATGGCCAAGAAAGGTTGAACCAATAATCCTACACGCTTTTCTTCATTTGATAAATCCATATTTACAATTTTTGTTTATTTTAATACACAAAGATTGGATGTGACAGCTTCACATTTATGTGAGCAAAGACGATTAAACTTGTTTCCATAGCTAACTAAGTGAAAATGTTTAAAAATTATAAGAATTGGCTATAACTCAGTAATTTTTCGATGAAAACATATTATAGCTTATATCGCTAAAAAGCTTAAAAAATTGCGCTTTTTATGAAGTCACGGCCAACTATGGTTTCCATTTAAAAAAACATATGTTTGTGTCATATATCAAAAATGACAAGCTTTAGAAAAAAAA